TTGTGGGTGCATTAATATACTTTGAAATTTTCCCGAGTTTAGGTTTTTCCAATTTGCTGTAACAAAATAAGAACTACAGGGCGAGGATAGTCGTGGAGCTGCGGTGGCATCATGGGGAGCAGTTATACCGCGACTCGGTGTGGGTGAAACACAGGAAACAGCACATACAGCTGGTCGTGTGCTGGGTGCTCTGCGGATACTGATTGGAGTGGACAGCGATCTGCCATCTACCTGGAAACGAGCTCCAATTCCGTTAGCCGTTTGGGAGGTTGATCGGATACGACTCAGAGCAGTTCTTGACAACGCGATGCGTGCCATGTCAGCTGTAAGCGCGCTGAAGGTAGCTATTCTTAATATACATTGGCAGTATGTCCTGCATACACAGTAACATGAATGCGGTCAATTGTTCTGGTTAAGGCATTGACGGAGAAGATTACGAATGTTGTGATTGGCGACGACGTTGCAGCTCGGGCAAATCAAGCCGTTAGTCTTGTTAGAGAAGGGCTAATGGATTCGAAAGCGCCTCAGCTGGACAAGGTAAGCGGTTATAGTAGAATGACAACTTATCAAAGATTCTTGACTGATGGATGATAGCTGCTTTTAACGCCGCAGTTCGCGCTCTGAAAATTATCGCAAGAATGCTTAGCTCTGGGCAAGTCTTGACCCGAGGGCGAGACTCGAACTTGCTTCTTCCGCTGGCTGAGGACTGTGCTATCTATCATGACAGCGTGGTCCCTCTTGCCCGCCAGAAACGATAAATTGGCACCAGATTCGTCTGTGAGGGTAAGAATTGACTTTACATCAGCTGGCCCTCGCAAGTTATTGTGTAGGCCACTTCGCATTTCTTTAAGTTTCTACAATTCCGAATGGAAGTAGAATGCGTGTCGCATTTTTTTTTTTTTTTTTTTTTTTTTTTTTTTTTTTTTTTTTTTTTTTTTTTTTTTTTTTTTTTTTTTTTTTTTTTTTTTTTCTTTTTTTAATATGGAAGTAGATGCAGTGTCGCATCCCAAAAAAAAGGATTGCTGCAGCAAGCGAAGACTTACATCCTTTCTCCTTTCGAATCTACTTTGAATAATTTCAGATTTCTGCCGGTCGCCTAATGGCCGATGAGGCGCTCTCACATCCATCTCTTCTGGCAATGCTTTACTTTCCAAAGGATCAAACAATGGCCGTATACCTCCCTATAATGTTGCCAACACTTGTTCCGTTGTTTGGATCAATTCTAGCGCTCTTTAAATGGGTTCTTGGCTGGTCGTAAAGGCTCAAGTGCGGCGCTCGTAAAAAGCTGTGTCCTCATGTAATCTCTCATTAATTCCACGCTCGCCAATGATTCTGATAGTTGTTTACGGGATTTTTCTCACTGTTGTTGTGCTTTATATCTTTTTTTTTGATTATGTTTTCAGTGATCATCACATTATAATAATTGAAAATATAAATTATATAAAAGAGGTCATGGGACCGTGAAAAAACCTGACTTCGCTGATTGTGAGACCATTTTTTGTGGAAGGCGGAGTTTTTGCGCGGTAATTGCGGTTGCCCACCCACGTCCCTGCACCTGCGATTCTTATTAGACGCGTTTCCATTCATGCTCTAGCATAGCCCCTTGTAGCAAGGAGTGTGGAAAATCTTCGTATTAAAGCCCTAAAAAAGCTGGAGTTTATTGCTGCTTGGTATAAGTCGCTTTCTGGGAAGTTCCACGCGTTTCACTTCTATTCGAAGTCAGAAAGGCGTACTAGATGTCATATGGCCCAAATAATGGCCTGTCAAAGCCAGTCGATCACCAGGCCAGTGTTTCTATTTTCCCAGACGAATCTGATACCAAATTAGTGGGTAGAAGGTTTGTTGGGCTGAGGAGGAGCCAACCCGGGATTTGACCCTTAGAGCTCGTCCCGTAAGCAGGCAATTTGCCGCTACATCGCCTCCGCCTGTGAGTAATCAAACGAGTAGTAATTGAATTGAAGGAGCGGTCTGCGATGACCTATGAAAATGCGAAAGATTGTGTGGCAAGGGCAGTGTGGTTCGCAATGCAACCTTGTGCCCAATCTCGCCTGGGAAAGTTGCAAGAAAAATGAGTTAAGGCGCAAAGTTGCCCTAGTGGTACCTCCCTTATTCAAAGTGACTTCGCCTCCGAGCCAAAAGCGATGTGGCTGGACAAAAAGCGTGAAGTGGATACTCCAGTTAGAGGGGTCATAGGGTTCATTCCAAGGAATCACAGGATTCGACTCGAACCAACACGCGCTCCTCTGGCCCTTTTGCCGCAGAGTTGTTTGAGGCTTAGCTACTGAAGGCGTTGCCGAGGTTTCGTATGGCATTTTAGTTTCTGACAGCTTCACCCCCGCATGTCATCACCACCCCTACACTCATCATGAACCGTGCCTTTAGAGGCAGTTGGCACGATAAACCCCCAAGACGAGTAGGATTAATACGCCTGGCGGACGTGATGCTGCATGGATATATTAGGTCATCTCATTTAAAAATGCCGAGACATATTGAGGAATAGCAGAAAAGCAAAGGGGATAGGACAACGGGCCACTGTACCATTTGGAAGCTAGTACCTTAAGCTATGTATCTGTGAAATTTGGCAAATCTACCCACACGAGAAGTTCTCGAGAAATTGAAAAGAAGCCCGAGTGGTGAAAATCAGCGCCGGATTTTCGAATCAGGCCTCATATGAGGAAAGTGGGCTGCACAAATTTGACCTGTGCCAGACCAGCAGTTGCGTGTAATGGTGTTCTCAAAATGCAAGGTGGAAGATTTGGTTCAGGAGCCCGAAGAAGGAAGAAAGGAAAAAATTTGTTGTCGTGGATGGTCCCATAATGTCCATCCTGCCCAAGAAAAAAGGATGGATGAAAGTCGACGCGAATGTCTGGTCACAGAGCTTGCGCCCTTGACTACATTTTTATCCAACCTACCAAATTATCGTTGCCAGCGCTGCCTTTTAAGGAAAGAAAAAACAAACTTGGGTAAATAAAAATGTCAGGAATAAGTGTAAGGAAAGAAGATAGCGATGTGGCGCTAAGCGGAATTGTAAAGTGCGTACAGACGGGGGGGGGGGGGGAGGGGGCGGGTGTGTACCGCAAGAGTCGCAATCGCAGATTATGCTTTGCGGAACTTTTGCAAAAATGTACGATGTCAATGCCAGCCCAGGTTGAAAGGTCCCAGCTGATGGAAAACCCTGTCACAATGGGTTTGGCGCTGCGGCAGACAAGTTTTCCACCATTCGCTGAAGAGGACAAGCGACAAGGCTTTGTCATATGGTTCGTATCAGCGGTTTTTCTACCAATGTCGCTTACCCGCTTCGACAACTGGTGGAGAACAGGTCTGGCGCCGTGCCAAACCCATTCCGCTTGACACCCCTTGATTCGTAACGAGCAACTCTGTAATAGGAACAGTAGTCTCTGCGACGGCGCGAGACTGATGTTAAAGAGAAGAAGATGGCGGGTCCACGTTGGAAAAAAAATTTGAACGAGAAAAGGTACTTGTAGCCTTCCATAGCAGCGGGAGTCCAAAGTTTGTCCAATGGCAGGTTATTTTTGTCGGGTCGCCCCGTCCCGCAGTTTCATTTTCGTGACAAAACAGTAAGAAGAACGCGTCTGTTATGCTTTTTGTCACCTGGTCTTTTATTTTGTGTTTTTGGTGAACTATTCAAACATTACTTCACATATGTATCGACAAGCTTCATCGTTTTCGTATTCCTTGAAATCCATCATAATTCTGAATGAAGGTTCGTGCGTGGCTCACTCCAAAAATGGATTTATCGATGTCTAGCACTCGAATTAACACGACCGGCCAGACCACGTCGTCCGTTGGGTGATTCCTGGCGTGGGGATCTCATTTAGTCGCTGGAGAGAGGGCGAAGAAGACGAGGCATTATCAGAGAAATTTTTTTTGTTAATTGACCTCAACCCCCTCCTCCCCCCCTCGTTCGGCAGTCGGCAGCAAAATTTTGGGATAAAAACTAGACAGTTGCCGAGAAATTCCATGAAATTGTAGGAACGTTGAGAAAGATCTTCTGGAACTGTTGGTAGATATGGATTGAGGAGGTCAGATTTTCGCGAATATTTTCCCAAAGCGCGCAGAACGGAATGCCATTGCTACTTCGCCGCTGGCCGGTGCTCGAGCATGCATTGATTAACACAATATGGTGGGTCGGAAAATCTATTTGCGCTAACTCTCCTGATCTCCGTCTCGTCATAACGTAAACAGGTTTTCTTTGGCTGCCAGACCTGTGTTAATCTCTTGTGAGCTGGCAAGATGGTGGAATTGAGTCACTTTGGTCGCAAGGATTTACACGTCTCACAAGGTGGCCTGTACAGGTTTCCTGTTTGGTGCCCCTACCGAGCTGAACTGCGTATAACATGAATGACATTCGAAGGCAACTGAGAGTCGGTAATCGATTCTCTTGAGGTGCGTGTGTTTTTCCTCGCATGACGTTTTGTGCTACAACACAATTAAATTCTTCATAGAATCGGAATACTTAATTTGTAGTGAAGGTGGTGGTGCCGGCGGTTGCCATGAAAATGCTCAACCACAATCCTCAGCCGAAATGAAAGTAGATGAGAGCTGACATTTGGGCCAGGAAAAGTAAGTTTCTTCTAGCGCTCCACCCCCCCCCCCAGAAAAAAAAACCGTCGATCGAGGGGGAGCTGGAACAAGCGAAGGAAAACCCGAGATAATTCAACAAACCAAAAACATATTTCACTGAAAGATATGTATGACCCCTCCCCCTCCTTCCAGCTACCAGACACGACCCTCCCTCTCTGTGGGGTCCCCTAGGTACGACATGCTCTGACACCGATTTCTCCTTATGACCACGGAAGATTACGGAGAAAATGATGGCTGCCGTAAATTGCTTGGCTTATTGCTCTACTCATTGCACTCTCACGATTATTCATAAGGTTATAATGACTGTGGGGCACAGTTGGGCGATGGGGGCATGGGCATTTTGCACTTTGCTACCGACCAGAGAGCTATTTCATGAGCTCACAAAGGTTGACAGGTTTTACCAGAGTTAAACTGGAAACTCCTCCTGAAAACTGGAACTAGTGCTGTGAAAGAGCAGAATGCCCCTCCCCTTCCCCTCCCCCCTCCCCCGCCACGTTGGCGAACAGCGCCGACTGTGGTTTGAGATGCAGTAGTGAACTTGATTAGTTTTTCATGGGGTTTTTCCTGAGGAAATTCGTGGTCTTCCCGGAACCATACTGAAAACACTATGAACTAGAGAAAGAGGCTCTAATCTTATTGGTCAGCTCCTGTAATCTCACAGTGGGATGTTCCTTCTTGAGGAGAATTAGGGGAAGAGATCTGACTAGGGAGAGAACAAGCGCTCAGAGATGCCCTGCACGTCTTCCTGTAGCAAACTAATAGTGCTAGTTGCCTGATTTACTCTTCTGTTCTGCTTCTCTTTTCTCCCTCAGTTTTCTTCCTTTGACCATCAAATGGGTGGAGGGTCCTCTCCAGGGCACACCATTAAGTGCAATGAAAAAAGTGAATGCTTAGCAGTTCTGCGACACCGCCAACTGGGGGGGGGGGGTTAGGGATAGGGAGTGGGAACCAAAAGCAGAAAAATTCAACATTCAAAAAGTTCTTTTCGAGAGCATTTATGATCTCCCCAGTGGCCGAATCAAGACTCCCTCCGATATATTTTTCGCAATAGGAGCTGCGCACGGCTTCCACGCTGCTGAACAAAGAACGAAGCTCTTGTCGAGGCCTTCATCAAGGTAGCATCTTTGACCCTGTGACTGTCGCGCTTACCTAGAGATTAAGTGGGAGGTAAAAGCTTCCAAAGTACGAGCATACCTAGCGTAACAACTGTGCAATAACGGAACCAACGTTGGGGCAACACGAGAAGGGACTATTTCATGGCTAGTTGACTTGACATACTCCACGTTAAATCATTTAGGTCTTGTTGAGGATACCACACCTGTGACACCACTGCATTTCCGTACAACACCGTATGACAGGTGATCCCTGCAGAAGCGATGTGGCAAACCAGGGGAAGGGCTTTTTAAGAAAAAGGGCTTCGGGATGCGTCAGCCACCTAGGGGCGTGGAAAGCTGGAAAGTACAAGGTAACGGACGATCAAATGACACCAAGCAGATGAGAGGGTGCAGAGAAAAACAGAAAACTGACGCGGCGGTCAAAGCGTCATATTCAAGTTGTCCGTAGGGCTGCTATTTCCCATCGACGTGTCGACCTATCTAGACAGCCTCTTCTAGTGTTGACAAGTTTCACCATGATGGCTTGACGACTTTGCTG